TAGAGTTCTTAAATTAATGTAGGTGTACCCCTAATGGTACGGGATAGCCTTGTTCATATGAGCTACGTGAATTCCCAGGAAATCTCTGACAAGCTGGAACAGTCTTGGCCGAACAGCGAAATAAAAACAGTATAATCATTTATTGCTAATTAATTCCAAGTATTTAGAATTTATTGTCGCGTATTTTCGTTAAGAAAAGGGTGACAAAGACAGATCTCCAAAAAGCATGTATGTGCAAGATTGATGCAAGGATAAAACGACAGTAGTATTGGGTCATGAGAAATGAAATTTATGAAGCGAACGGACGAAGTCAGACACCTGGCGAAAACACATCGTTTGGTTTCAAGAGCTCAAAAACGTGTATTCTGACTAGGTTACATCGAAAAATAGGCATATATCTCTGTACCATTCCGAGCTTGACTGCCGAACCGAACGGATCGCTCTTATCGTTGTGAATAGTGATAACCGTATGACTTAGGAAAATCTATGAACCAACGTAAATCTTGAGGTCTGTGGAAACAGTGCCACTTGTGAGTGCTACGCATTTTGTACAATGGGTACTGCCCGACAACGGGGCAACTCATCAGTAATGCTCTAACAACACTAAACTGATTATCCCATCCCAGATTTAATCGTATCGATGCTGTAGCGAGAAGAAGCGGAAACTACCACTGACGAAGTTTCATCAGTGGAATCTCAACCAAGCCAAACAACAATGGAACCTCAACCAAATCAACAGACCTCAATGACACAGCAAAACCTGGACAGCCCACAAGGTAACGCTACAGGCCAACATGCCGCAGGGCAAAACTTAAAGCGTCCTTCCGATGATAACAATTACGCTAACGAGATAAAAAAGGTCTAACCTACAATCAAAACAAGACAATATAGACAGTTTAACCCAATATCGTTATTCGGTCCCCACTGGAAATAGATTTGAGGCACTGAACAGTAGATCGGATCCCAGCAATCAAAATAGGTTTAGTTACGTCAATGAAACCCCAACAAGTGTGTCAGAAACAGTAAAAATCCCTCCAATTTATGTAGAAAATATAACAAACAGTACGAACCTTAGCAAGGAGATTAATATCAATGTAACTACCAGCTTCACACATCATAGAGTAAAAATTCAACCAGAAAAAATTAGTTGCCTCAGAGACATAACCAAATATGTAATTAACACCAGAAGACAATTTCATACTTACAAGAACCCTGCAAATAAAAAATTCTCAGTTGTATTCAAAAACCTACACACATCAATCACAGAAGAGGAAATCCGCACCGAATTGAAAGAAAAACACCCATCACTCATCAAAGTTACTAGACCCAAAAAGACAGTAATCCAAATTCCAGTAATTGCATCAAATTCACAGGGAAGAAAACATAAAAAAAAATATTTTAGAAATAAGACCAATATGTGATCTCATTGTAAAAGCTGAAAGGAGAAGGATGACCTTAAAGGCCCCATTCAATGCATGAGATTGTTTAGACTTTGGTCATACAAAAATTATTTGTAACCAAATAAAATAGCTGCATTTATTATTCCAAAATACAATATTCTGCTACTTGCCCCCATGAAAATGAACCATTCAAATATTATATCTGTTAAGGAAACCACAGAGCAGACCTCAGAACAGTAGAATGCCCCTATTATAAAAATAATAGGCCAAAACCCTAACAATAACAATCCCCAATTAAAAATAGAACCAATGGATCTCAAATTATGCCACCTCAAAATATCCAAACTAACTTCCTCAGACTGTCAAACACTCAAAACATCTCAAACTTTACACACATAAACAACACAAACAGAACACAAAATATTAATCAACATAATAACTCCCCAAATCTAAATCCACATGTACACTCTAACAAGAGTAACTTTCTCAACTCCCTGATCAATGCAATAGCTACTCACATCATCAATATAACCAGTTCAATTATCCCATCCATAATAAATGACATTCAATTATCCATCTCTGCATACATTAATAACAATTATGCAACAAACACAAACTAATAAGATTACCATACTCAATTGGAATTCAAATGGAATAATCAATAAAATCAATGAACTGAAATATTTCATGCAAGATAAGAAAATAGACTGCATAAGAGAAACACATTTAAACAATAGTACAAAATTCAGCTTACCAGATTACAAAGAAAGCAGATCAGACAGACCAAATAGAAATGGAGGAGGAGTAATAATTCTAATTCAGAACACAATATCATGTTATCAGATAATATTACCACCAACCCCTGGTATTGAAACAGCAGCAATTAAGTTCATTAACAACAACAATCTGGTATTGACACTCATTGTAGCATATAAGCCCTCAATGTAAAAATCCAACATACCATTTTCATTGGTGTTATTGATTAACTCACCCCAACAATAGTCGTAGGTGATCTTAATCAAATCATGTACCGTGGGGATGCAAAAACATAAACACAGCTGGAACACAATTACTACAACTAATAAACATCAACAAACTAAATATCGTAACACCCAATGAACCAACATTCTATCCATTTGATCACTCTAGGAACCCAGACCTGTTAGACATAGGTATAACAAATTTGAAACAAACATTTTTCTCCACAGGACACCATGAAATGGACTCAGACTACCTACCAGTAACAATTACAACACATCATTCACTACCCCCCCCCACACACACACACACAATTAATTGGCAAAAATTTAAAAATAATGTTAAGAGAACCATCCCTAAATTCAAAATCTTAAATACCCCTCCAGAAATAAATCAATACAATACTCAATAACATAATATTAAGTGAACTACAGAACAATAAATTAAAAAAATCACCAATGAACACAGAATTAAAAAACATGAAGTTCCCAAAAGCATAAGAAATCTAATCCGCATAAAGAATAAAACAAGAAGATTATGGAATCACACGACAAACCCTGAAGTTAAAAAAAAAACCTTTTCACACACAAACAGCAACAATACAATACCATGATTCAAAGTTTAAGCTTAAGTAATAAAACTGTGGCAATTTAAAAATAAAATACTAAACAAAAAAATAATATTCCTCCACTTAATACCATCACAGGGAAAAATTCTTTCCCTTTGAAAACGCTGAAACACTAGCAAAACATTTTGCAGATACATTCAAACCCAAAGACTCACCCCTACAACCCACAACACCAAACATTCACACAGATAACAACATCTCCTAATTATAATATACCTTCCAGAATCAGATTTACATCCCCCAAGGAAATAATAAACATAATGAAAACACTTCATAAAAAAAGGCTCCAGGACATGACAGAATAAATAACAAAATCCAAAAAAATCTGCAAAACCAAGCAATAGCATTCTTAAATCACATTTACAACTCCTCATTAAGAACAGGTTATTTTCCACTTTTATGGAAACATTCTATAGTGATACCCATACCAAAACCCAATAAAAATCCATCCAATATAGAAAATTATAGACCAATAAGCTTGTTACCATCCTTGTCCAAAATTCTAGAGAAAATTATTCAGAAAAGAATCAGTAATTACTTCAACAAAAATGACATCATTCCCAGGCATCAATTTGGATTAACTGAGAAGTTATCAACCACACACCAATTACTAAGAATCACAGAACATATCAATACAGCATTCCAAAGAAAACTACATACTTTCTAGATATTTCACAAGCATTTGACAGAGTATGGCATCAAAATCTCGTGTACAAACTTAGAATCATTGGCACACCCAAATATCTAACCAACATCATCAATAGCTTCATAAGCTAATACAAAGTTTTTCAGTTTCAATAGACAAACATCTCTTAAACCCCAAACCAATATTGACTGGACTTCGTCAGGGCTCCCCACTTTCACTCATCTTATTCAGTCTTTACACAGCCGAATATCCCTACATTCAACACAACACAGCACAATTTGCAGATGATACAGCTTTGTATTGTTCTAATACATCACTCATTACATTAAGAAAACACAATACAACATTTATATAAAAAAAGATGCATGGTCAAACGAATGAAATTAAATTAAACCCAGCCAAGTCAACAGCAAAAATCTTTTCATTAAAAACAATTTCAACACCACCACCCCTTACACTGAACAATAACACCATTCCTTGGACTCCACTAAACAAAACTGTGAAATATCTAGGACTGCATTTAGACATCAAGCTTAACTGGAAAGAACAAATAAACATTAAAACACAACAAACAAAAGTCAAGCTGATTCAATTAAAACCATTAATAAATAATCACACTTAAACAACTATAGAAAACACCAAACTCACATATACAGCCATAATAAGACCCCTAATGGTCTATGCTTGTCCTGTCTGGATTAATACAGCAAAACCAATATCCATAAAATACAGGTCATACAAAATAAATTCCTGCGAACAATAACCAATGCACACTGGTTCATCACAAACAAACAACTCTGTAAAGAAATTCAAATAAAACCTATCATACATCACATCACTAAGTTATCCCATAATTTTTAAAATAAAGTGACATCAAATACACAACTATCCCAATACAACCTAGGCAAAGCACCCATAAATGCCACCAAAATAAAAACTAGTTTTCCTAAACGTTTTTTATATGCAATTTGCAAATTTGGATGATTCTTTGTGAGGTGCTCAGTGGTTTTTTTCTCCCTAAAAATTAATTGTAAAGAAACAATAGTTTAGTTTTTTAAATAGATAGTAAGCATCAAGACATGTGAAAAAAGTAGTACTGTCAACTGATCCATGTATCACATCCAAAATATTAATACATATTAAAAAATCTCTCTGTACCATCAGAATATCTTATGTTTCTTGGAAGTTGAAGAAGATAAAAAACAAACAAAAAAACATGTGAACGGTAGGAGAAATAAAGGAGATCAGTCAAATTGTCATAATATTTGAAGAGCATTTGGAAGATGAAACGATGTTTTATTCCACGTAGGGCTCGTTCACAAGGATGTGGTGGGGGCGAAAGGCCTCAGAAGTTGACGAAGTCGAACTCGCGCACGAGGCGCAGCGAGAGCGTGAGCGCGTGGGCGTCGGCGTCCCAGTGCGCGCGCGAGGCGTCAGCGTCGACGGGGTGGGGCAGCGGCAGCGCCAGGCGGAAGGCGGGCGAGCGCACGTCCACGCGCTGCCGCCCCACGCTCAGCGCCACGTCGCCCACGCGCTCGCCCGGCAGCCGCACGCGCACCACCAGCTCCTCGCACGACGCGCTGCCCGGCGTGCGCCCGCCCAGCTGCAACCACGGATCGACTAAAGGCCCATGCACAATACAAACATAAGCATGGCGTTAACATATGAGTTAAGACTACATCCATAAGCGGGCTCATTCACAATGCGTTCGTATAAGCATAACACATAAGACGTTAAGTTAAGAGCGCCTTCCCACGGCGCCGCGCTTCCTTCAAGCAGCAGAACCCTTCCGACGCAGGCACCGACGCCACCACCGCCGCAGCCACGGCCGCGCCGCCGCCTGCCGTGGAAGGGGGTGGGGTCTGCAGGGTTATAGGTTTCGCCGACCCTCCGGCGACGACGAACAAAGGGACCGGAGCAGGTAAACGGCAGCGACCGACGGCACAGTGGGAATGCTCCTATTTAAAGCTGTGTACTGCTAGCCGTGGCGCGTATGCCCTCCTCCGCTTCGCGTAGCTGGAGTTCGGCGTCGGCTGCCGCAGCAGCCGCCACCCGCTGCACGTGGGAAGGCCTCCATTTAAACCAATGCTCTGCTACGAGCTGCGCTGCTCGGAAGCGCACCGCCGTCGCGACGTGAGAAGGGGCCCTAAAAGCTTGCAAGATTTGTGCTTATGCTTAAGTAAGAATAAGAAATGAACCAATCACAGAACGGCAACTCAAAATCGAGAATCAAAATTGGAGGGAAGTCGATAGAAGAACTAAAGCCATATGGGACATAGACACAGTCGATGTCTTGAAATCGATTCTCACATCCAACCAGAAAGTCTCAAAGATAATAGAAACTTATTTTGCTTACGTTTATGTTAGGTGAATAGTCAGTCTATCGCTTTTGTTAATGTTTATGTCTATGCGCTATGTTTATGTTTACGTTTGCATTGTGAATGGGCCTTTGTGGCTCCTCGTGACCCAGACAGGAAGAAAGCCTCAACATGTCCCAGACCAGCATTGCACGCCGCGAGCACCAGACGCATTGTGCGCCCTGGAGGAGAACGAGGATCCGCCATTGACTAGCTCCTAGCGGCTGGCACGCTTCCCATCTCAAAATAGTAAAAATTCAGCTTACCAGATTAACAAAGAAAGCAGATTCAGACAGACCAAATAGAAATGGAGGAGGAGTAATAATTCTAATTCAGAACACAATATCATGTTATCAGATAATATTACCACCAACCCCTGGGTATTGAAACAGCAGCATTAAGTTCATTAACAACCAACAATCTGGTATTCGACACTTCATTGCAAGCATATAAGCCCTCAATGTAAAAAATCCAACATACCATTTTTCATTGGTGTTATTGATTAACTCACCCCAACAATATCGTAGGTGATCTTAATCAAATCATGTACCGTGGGGATGCAAAAAACTATAAACATAGCTGGACACAATTACTACAACTAATAAACATCAACAAACTAAATACGTAACACCCAATGAACCAACTACTATCCATTTGATCACTCTAGGAACCAGACCCGTTAAGACATAGGTATAACAAATTTGAAACAAACATTTTTCTCACAGGACACCATGAAATGACTCAGATACCTACCAGTACAATTACAACACATCATTCACTACCCCCCCCCACAACACCACACAATTAATTGGCAAAAATTTAAAAATAATGTTTAAGAGAACCATCCCTAAATTAAATCTTAAATACCCTCCAGAAATAGATCTATCAATTCTCAATAACATAACATTAAGTGAACTACAGAACAATAAATTAAACAAATCACCAATGAAACAGAATAAAAAACATGAAGTTCCCAAAAGCATAAGAAAATCTATCCGCATAAAGAATAAAACAAGAAGATTATGGAATCACCACTACAAATCCTGAAGTTAAAAAAAAAACCTTTTCACACACAAGCAGCAACAATACAATACCATGATTTCAATTTAAGCTTAAGTAATAAAATGTGGCAATTTAAAATAAAATACTAAACAAAAAAAAATTATTTCCTTTGAAAACGCTGAAAACACTAGCAAAAACATTTTGCAGATACATTAAACAAAGACTCACCCCTACAACCCCAACACCAAACATTCACACAGATAACAACATCTTCCTAATTATAATATACCTTCCAGAATCAGATTTACATCCCCCAAGGAAATAATAAACATAATGAAAACACTTCATAAAAAAGGCTCCAGGGACATGACAGAATAAATAACAAAATCCAAAAAAATCTGCAAAACCAAGCAATAGCATTTTAAATCACATTTACAACTTCCTCATTAAGAAAGGTTATTTTCCACTTTTATGGAACATTCTATACGTGATACCCCATGACCAAAACCCAATAAAAAATCCATCCATATATAGAAAAATTATAGGACCAATAAGCTTGTTACAATCCTTGTCCAAAATTCTAGAGAAAATTTATTCAGAAAAGAATCAGTAAATTACTTCAACAAAAATGACATCATTCCCAGGCATCAATTTGGATTCACTGAGAAGTTATCCCACACAACACCAATTACTAGAATCACAGAACATATCCATACAGCATTCCAAAGAAAACTAACATACTTTCTAGATATTTACAAGCATTTGACAGAGTATGGCATCAAAATCTCTCGTGTACAAACTTAGAATCATTGGCACACCCAATATCTAACAACATCATCAATAGCTTCATAAGCAATACAAAGTTTTTCAGTTTCAATAGACAAACATCTCTTAAACCCCAAACCAATATTGACTGGACTTCGTCAGGGCTCCCCACTTTCACTCATCTTATTCAGTCTTTACACAGCAGATATCCTACATTCAACACACAGCAGCAAATTTGCAGATGATACAGCTTTGTATTGTTCTAATACATCACTCATTACATTAAGAAACACAATACAACATTTTATATAAAAAAGATGCATGGTCAAAACGAATGAAAATTAAATTAAACCCAGCCAAGTAACATAGCAAATCTTTTCATTAAAAACATTTCAACACCACCACCCCTTACACTGGAACAATAACACTATTCTTGGACTCCACTAAACAAAACTGTGAAATATCTAGGACTGCATTTAGACATCAAGTTTAACTGGAAAAACAAATAAACATTAAAACACAACAAACAAAAGTAGCTGATTCAATTTAAACCATTAATAAATAATCACACTTAAACAACTATAGAAAACGCCAAACTCAATATACAGCCATAATAAGACCCCTAATGCTCTATGCTTTGCCCTGTCTGGATTAATCAGCAAAACCAATTCCATAAAATACAGGTCATACAAAATAAATTCCTGCAAACAATACCAATGCACATGGTTCATACAAACAAACAACTCCGTAAAGAAATATAATAAAACCTTTCATACATCACATCACTAAGTTATCCCATAATTTTTAAATAATGACATCAATACACAACTATCCCAATACAACCTAGGCAAAGCACCCATAAATGCCACCAAAATAAAAACTAGTTTTCCTAAACGTTTTTTATATGCAATTTGCAAATTTGGATGATTCTTTGTGAGGTGCTCAGTGGTTTTTTTCTCCCTAAAAATTAATTGTAAAGAAACAATAGTTTAGTTTTTTAAATAGATAGTAAGCATCAAGACATGTGAAAAAAGTAGTACTGTCAACTGATCCATGTATCACATCCAAATATTAGATACATATTAAAAAATCTCTGCTGTACATCCGAATATCTTATGTTTCTTGGAAGTTGAAGATAAAAAACAAACAAAAAAACATGTGAACGGTAGGAGAAATAAAGGACATCAGTCAAATTGTCATTTTGAGAGCATTTGGAAGATGAAACGATGTTTTATTCCATTAGGGTTCGTTCACGAGGATGTGTTGGGGGCGAAAGGCCTCAGAAGTTGACGAAAGTCGAACTCGCGCACGAGGCGCCGCGAAGGCGTGAGCGCGTGGGGCGTCGGCGTCCAGTGCGCGCGCGAGGCGTCAGCGTCGACGGGGTGGGGCAGCGGCGCGCCAGGCGGAAGGCGGGCGAGCGCACGTCCACGCGCTGCCGCCCCACCGCTCAGCGCCACGTCGCCCACGCGCTCGCCGGCAGCCGCACGCGCCACCACCCAGCTCCTCGCACGACGCGCTGCCCGGTGTGCGCCCGCCCAGCTGCAACCACGGATCGACAAAAGGCCCATGCACAATACAAACATAAGCATGGCGTTAACTATGAGTTAAGACTACATCCATAAGCGGGCTCATTCACAATGCGTTTCGTATAAGCATAACACATAAGACGTAACTTAAGAGCGCCGTCCCGGGCGCCGCGCTTCCTTCAAGCAGCAGAACCCTTCGACGCAGGCACCGACGCCGCCACGCCGTGGTAGGGGGTGGGGTCTGCAGGGTTGGTAGGTTTCGCCGACCCTCCGGCGACGCGAACAAAGGGACCGGAGCAGGTAAACGGCAGCGACCGGCGGCCAGTGGAAATGCTCCTATTAAAGCTGTTGTACTGCTAGCCGTGGCGCGTATGCCTCCTCCGCTTCGCGGTAGAAGGGAGCTGGAGTTCGGCGTCGGCTGCCGCAGCAGCGGCCACCCTTGCACGTGGAAGGCCTCCATTTTAACCAATGGCTCTGCTACGAGCTGCGCTGCTCGAAGCGCACCGCCGTCGCGACGTAGGGAGGGCCTAAAAGCTTGCAAGCTTTGTGCTTATGCTTAAGTAAGAATAAGAAATGA